ACTTTACTATGAGTTAAGTAGAATGTTAACAATTCAGTGTTTTACCTAATATTCTTTCTGGTATTCTACATTGAAAAAAACAGTTGTTTATTTTATGTTACTTTTTTCTTTTAAAGACATTTTTGATTGATACTTTCAAACCAGAAAAATCAATCTTTTTCTCACTAGATTGTAAATAAAAAGCAAAGTTTAATATGAAGCTTCAGGTTCTTCTGGCTTTTATCTAAATTTTGTATTCCATTGTTGAGATTTAGGATAATTTAAACTAAGCTTGAACATAATTTTTATAAGTGAACAAGTATTAAACTATATAACAAAAGTGTTTATCTTACCTATTTGCTAATTTCTTATCATAGAGCCATACATAGTAGGACTTATGGTAACATGCTGGCTGACTGCGTGAGGGACTAAATGTGTGAAAGACAAAATGAATAATGAAGATCAGGTTCTTTTGATAAATATGTCCCATGCATTGAGGTAGACATTTACAGTCATTTAATTTAAAGAATTAAATTAATGAGGTATAGCATGTTGTATGCTGATTTATAAATTTACTGTGTGTACTTATGTGCATATTTACAAGGGAGTCATATTTCTTTTCATTCTATGTTGCCAACACAGATATTCAGAGGCTTAGAATCTTAAGAGTTGTATTAGTGAAATAAATACTACAAACAAATTAATCATAAATAATGTACTTCCTTGACTTAAAGTAACATGTTTGTCATTTTGAATGTAGTGGATAGTCTTTCAATAAATGGCTTCATGTAGTTCAGGAAGGAGGAAAACTGTAGAGCCTGTCTCTAATACACAGAACCTCACTTAGTCCCCTCTAGCCACCTCTTTATTCTAAGAACAAGAAGATAGAGCCAGAACTATGTGTAAACAACACTCACACTCAACGTTGAATCACAGTGATGAATGGTTCTGCATAGTTTCACTAAAAAGCTGTTTCAGCTGTTAAAATACGAAGAGATTTGACAAGTGGCATACATCACTGGAAATTTGGGACCAAACATTTTCTCAAATTCTATACTGTGTATTACTCATGTGTACCCAGTAGAAATATATCATCTCTCACATAATCATTTTTCTTTCCTGGAAAAATAGACATATTGACCAAAAACATGACTCAAAAGCAAAGTATGTGTAGGCCAGAAAAATAAGTTTTGTTAAATATATCTTTAAAATTTGGGACAAATGATCTATCATGATAAATATCTCTTAATATACACTTGAGTTTCATTTTAAATGTTATGTGCATGGCTAAAACGATCTGGTAATTTTTTCCAGATTGATAGCTTCATTAGGAGTACAACCAAACCATTGCCATGGAAATGAATTGCCATTAATTTGAGTTAAAATGTTGTAAAAGGTTAAAGTTTAAAAAATAATGTATTCATTTACAAAAATGTGCTTCCTTGTAATCTAGGGTTTTTATCATGTTTAAAAAAAACAGAAACATAGCAGCTTCAATTTAATTAGTAAAAATATATATTTATTGGGCCTCCCCAGTGGCGCAGCGGTTGAGCGCTGGGTTGTGAAGCTGCCCGCGGCCTCTGCGGCACTGGTTCGATCCCCGGCTGCTCCCCGGCCACCAGAGGAGGGTCCCACGTGGCGCGCAGACCTCTCCTGCCGCCCGCTGCTCCCCTCAGCAGTGTACTTCGGTCCTTCTGCCTGCTCTGCTCCCCGCTCTGGCTCTGGTAAATTTTCTCACCCTCCCGCGCTTCTGACTGTACCCAGTGCATGTATAAACAAAACAAACAAACAAATAAATAAACATGCCTCTATTAAAAAAAAAAAAGAATCATTAAAAAAATAAAATATATATATATATTTATTAAGGGGCTAGACATTCTTTCCTTGAAAATGGCATCAGAAAAGTATGATTGTATTCAATTACATTGAGTTAAAATGTTTATTATATTGTATATTATATAATAAAACAAATGTTTATATTTTATTTAGTTCAGAATATTAATAACATTAATTTTCTTTTTGTATAACTGCTAGGGAAAGTTAATGGACTGCTTAAGTATTCTTTGTATATAACAGTATCAGCGAATGTGAGTTCTTACCTTCTCAGATTTTATACTTTTATGATGATAATTTATATAATATCTATACAGTCAGGAACTTACAGCTCACAGCTAAACTTTTATCAGGATGTCGCAATTTGAATTAATTTCTTCTTCTTTTATACATTGATGTGTGTCTTTAAAGTTGCTGAGGCTATCTCCCACATTCAACTGTTTTTTGGAAGTGAGAAAATTTAAAAGGTTGCAGTTTTATTACTTGGTAATACAATAGAAATACTTGAATAATTTTTTCTCTGACCCCCCACTATCCTCATCTCCATTATATTTTGCACTAGAACTATTTCTTATACATTAATATATATTGCATGACTTTTCAAAAAATAATATATATGTGTAAAACTATCTTTTAGGATTATAATGGTGTGGAAAATAGTTGTCTTCTTTAATTTAGAATTTAGAGATTTATTTTCTTTTCTAAGTTAAGCTGGAAATATGACATTGTTAAAAGTAACAAAAACATGTACACCTTTTAGAAACAAGCAAACTGTAGTTGAAGCACAGATATATGTCTGTTTCCAGGTTTTAGTCTATACCATCCATTTAGAGAGTGCATATATTATTTCAGAATATCACTAGATGAATAAGATATATATGGTCTAGAACTATACTGTTCAATACCATAGCCACTAGTCACATGTAAACTTAATTTAAATTAATTTTAACAAAACTGAAAAATCAGTTTTTCAATTGCACTGGCGTATTTCAAGTATTCAGCAGGCACAGAATAGATGATGTGTATTAAAATTTTCTTTGTCATTATAGAACATTTAATTGTCACAAAAGTTCTGTTGCTCAGCTCTTGTCTAGAGATTTGAGATGAAATCAGCCAAAAGAACCAGAAAACAGAAGGTGTTTTTTCTGAAGTCACAGTGTTACGTATAAATAATTCAAGATTTTCTCTTTAATCGCCTTGGTATTTCAGTGACAGAGGCAGCCAGTAATAAGAAATGTTTCCTGTACCTTTCTGACAGATGTGACATGGATGTGATTATTTTTCTGTTTCTTTAGGGCAAGTCATGCTTTGAGTTCTCTGTGGTACTATGCCACTAATTTCCAAGATTTCATCACTCTTTTTGACTCAAATATTTTACTGTGGCTGAAAATCTAATTTTTCAAATGGCTTGATGTAAAGTAATTACTTTTCATCATTTCTTGCTGCCAAAGAGGAAGGAAACTGGATTAGATAAGATTTACTGATTTGAGTAGTTTTATTGTGAGAAAAAAATATCAGCACTCTTCCCCCTATAATTCATTATGATATTTCATTGCGAAAGCATGACTGATTCTTCTAGTTTTGTGCATTCCCTTTTTCCATATGACCCCCTCATTATAGTTAATTTTTTAAAATATTTATTTATTTATTCATACAAGCATGGGGTACAGTCAGAAGCGCGGGAGGGTGAGAGAATCCACCAGAGGCAGAGCAGGGAACAGAACAGGCAGACGGACGAAATACACTGCTGAGGGGAGCAGCGGGCGGCAGGAGAGGTATGCGTGCCATGTGGGACCCTCGTTGGTGGCCAGGGATCGAACTGGCGCTGCAGAGGCTGTGGACAGCTTTGCAACCCAGCGCGCAACCGCTGCGCCACCAGGGGAGGCCCTATAGTTAATTTTTAATCACCATAACCATAGGAAGATATTTTAAACTTTCTTTCTCCCTAGGATTCCACTTCCTTCCCTCCATCCTCACTTGCAAGGGATGATTATGAAATATTTTTCTTTACTGATCTGAAGGCCATCTATAATTCCTTTAATTCTTTCGCTTCCTCACATTCTTATTTATAACTTACCTCTCTCCTCCCTGGTATTGTATTCCTAGATGAAAGAGAGCCTTTCTTCTGTTCCAGAATAACTTTTCTATCCATTATCTATCTTTGGATTCTATCCATTCTTATTTTCTCCCTATTTTCTTAAATATCTAACTTCTTCCTGATTCCATTTTATATCAGATAAGATCATATATAAATCCAGAGACTGTCCCTGGAAAACCTATGAAAAAGAAACATTGGATACATATGAGTTGCTCACAGACTTAATGGACTATTTGGAAAAAAATAGGAAAAGGCCAGAAAAAGGAAAGCTCAAAGGATCCAGGCAACAGGCTTGAATTTGTATGGATATCATGGTGTTTTGTCCAATCACTCGTTTTCACATTTTGACCTAGAGGAGAGCAGAATACTTTAAGTATGCATTTTACCGTATGCATACATTGTTCCAAATATTTTACATACTTTATATTATGTATGTAATGTTGGTAGTATGGTGAGCTACCATTTTTTCTTTTTTTCAATAGAAAAAACAAAGTCTGTCGTTTAATAGGTTTCCAACCTGTATCTGCCTGATTATGAATACTGGGTTCTGAGCAAACATATAGTAATATTTCTATCATTGAAATTTTTAAATTTGAATTTCTATTAAATGAATTTTTCAAGTCGGTGGTCTGTTTTCTATGTTTCTGTTGCATTGTTATACTCCATTTAATCTTCTAAAACTGTCTGGAGAAACTACTGATTTTCTTTTTGTCAAAAACCTTTCTTAACTGAAATAAAAGCTTCAGTGATATTTAGACAAATGCTTATTAGGGAGTTAAAGTGAGGATTTGAACCAGGAAAACACCAGTAGATTTTACTTGTTGAGAATTGCTGTAACAATTTCAAGTTGAGTTCAGTTACTATACATTGTTGCAGAGTAGCATAGGTGTAGGAGAAAAAATGGTGAGTCGTTAGGTTGTATGGTGATCTACTATCATAGATCATAAAGGTGTAATTATTTTTGACAGGGTGTTTCTGGGGTTTTTGTTTGTTTGTTTGTTTGTTTGTTTGTTTGTTTTTCACTAGCTTTAGCTCTTCTGATTTCCTAAACTATCTTGACCAAAGGAAATGTTGATGCTATCTGTTTCAGAAGAAGACAAATGCAGGGATGAAATCATTTTCCTACCTTCTGAAGAATGTATTGCAAGGGGCAAAGGTTAGGAACCCATTGTTTAAAATCTTCTTTAGTTGTCTCCTTGGTCATTAATGGAGATTGAAGTTTGGTTTACCCATAGACATTAGGTTCTTGCATGACTTCATAAGAATTTTCCCATAGCTTTGGCTAAACAAAAGCAGAAGGAACTTAGGAATTTTCTACCACTTCCCCGGAACTCTGGAGAGTTGAGATAGTCACGTAGAGCATCCCTATGCCATCAGGTAAGCATGGCAGGCCCCAGATGACTGGGGGCTTCAGATTCTTCATATTGTTCCCCCTTGAATTTTACTTAGCTTCTGGAGGACATATGAAAATGTGAAAATGATTTACATGCCTGAGAATTGAGAACTATATGCCTAATGTAGTGGCAAGGTGTAGGGCAGGAAGGGCACAGAGCAGGTTTTCTCTGATCCAGAGATGGGGTAAAGGAGGAGTCCTGGAGTCCTCAGTGGCTTTCTCAGGCTTTTATTGAGCTTTTACATGTAGTGCAGCAACCAGGTACATGGCAGAAAGGGTGCCGGGGGGCCAGGAGGCCAGTAGTCCTCTAAGCCCCCCCCGCAGGTCTTCACCGTGGGCTCCCTGGCCTTCTTTCTCCGCTTCTTTCGCCTGCCTCTGCTTCTCTTGGCCAGTGTCTCAATACTGCTGCTATAGCCCATAGAAGTAAATAACATAACTTATAACAGTGTAACAAAATGCAGGTACCCCATCAGGCAGGGCAATCCTAATGGCAGAGGGCAGAAAAGCCTAAAATCATTTATCCTACTGTATCAGCCTAAACTGCATTCTGAATGGAAGATGTGACTGTTTCTTAGGACAGCACTATCATGGTTATATTCCTCAAGGAGATACCATGAGGCTCTCCACTCACTGCCCATGCCAAAAGTCAAAGAAGTCACACCAATAGAAGAGTAAATGCCCATAAGTAAGATGCCCTTCTCTGAAGGATACCAGGATGACAATGAAAGCCCTCCTGAGGAAAGAAGTCTTTATCATTTTCATAGAAATTTGTATTTGAAAAATGGGAATATAGTCGTAACCCACCTCAGAGAGTTATCGTGAAGGTTGAATGAATTCATATATGCAAAGGAAATAACAAGTAGGATTAACTATTTTTTATAGTTAACTTATTTTGTAGGATCATGTTGATTTTGTTCCAGCAACTTAATTTATGCAACACAAGACAGTATGAATCAACACAATTTTTGGTGTCATTTATGCATTTGCGAACTTGATATATGTTGTAGACTCCCCCCCCCCATAAAATGGAACATATGGATACCAAATTTTCTACATAAGTTCAAAGGTAGCTAAGGCCCACTCTTTGCAGCAGTAAGGGTTAGTAGACTCTCTGCTGAAAACCCCTTGTCTTAACTTTCAAAGTAATAGCTTCTCCTAGGCCTCTTAAGCTTCAAGGGGCTAGACTTTAAAAAAAACTCATTCTTGATAAAAAAAGTAAATTTGTCCCATCAAAGTATTTTCTTAGAGAATGAGAAGAGACAATCAATAGAAACTAATACCAAAATGACATGGATGTTGGAATTACTGACAAGTATTTTAAAGCAATAATCATCAATGATTCAATGAACATTTACACACACACTTGGACCTAATATGAAAAAAAGAAAGTCTCACTAAAAAAACTATAAAGAAAAGCCAAGTGAACTTTTTTGTATTGAGACTACAATGGTGAAATAAAAATTGAATGGAATGGCTCAACAGCAGAATGGAGAGTTCTGAAGCAAGGATCAGTGAATTCAAAGATTAAGCAATAGAAATTACCCAACATGAACAAACTCAAGGTAAAAAACTGGGGAAAATAGGAACAGAAATTCAATGACTTGTTGAACTGAAACAAAATATCTAATATCATACCATTGGACTCTAAGAAAGGGAGCAGAACTGAAAAATATTCTAAAAAAGAAGGGTTAAATTTGAAGGACATTTTACCAATGGGGGAAAACTATTCAAAGACATATTTGTCATCATGAATTGCAAATGTCAAAAGGTAATAGCGTATTTTCAAAAGCTAAAAGAAAATTAGCTAGCCCCCAATTCTATATCTGGTTAAATTATCCTAGAGGAACGAAGAGGAAATCAAGACATTCTCAGATGAAGAGAAACTCAGAGAAGGTATCCCCAAGGGATGTTTCCTAAAAGAACAACTGAAAGAAGTTCTTGAATATTCAACTTCTCAACTGAAGATGCTTTTTTTTTTTTAAATTTTCAGCCATGCTGCATAAATGAGAGCATGAAAGCATAGAGCAATGAAAGAATTCATGCAAGGCTATCCTGAGATAGTGTTAAAACTCAGTAAAAAAAGCAAGTAATTTAACAAGATTTTTAATTTATATCCCCCATCTGACTCCTTAGATACACTTGAGTTCCCTCACTATTAAAAAATTATTTTTAAAGATTTTCTAACTCTTAAATGAAATTGTAAATGATTTTAATTGTAACATTGTAATACTGTTTCATTCACAAAGCTAAACTATAAAATTGTACATAATACCTTTAACAAAACACAGGAAATGTATTCTTCAAGTAGCCTACCTTAACTAGTGACTATAATGACAAACAGTGAAATCATTTTGAATCTACTGGGACCAATTTACTGGTACAATGCACAAAGTCCAGTGCTCTCAGCTATAATTAGAAAATGATTCCAGTTCTCAATTAGTTTGGTTACTATAGTAATTCCATATGCAAGCTGTTCCTGCTGACTAGTGAACTAGATCATGTATCTTCTGTAAATTACCTCTTGTTAGTTGCTTGTAATTTATTTTATGTTTCCGACAACAATTTCAAACCAGCAGTGTCAGGAACATGTGTTTTTGCAATTATTAGAAAAACAGGCCATAGAATGTACACCTTTAACGTTATTCCCACTCTTGGCTATTTATGTTCATATACATGACTGAATATTTTTGAAGATCATAAAAGTTTACAAATAGATTTCGTTAAATCAATCTAGAAAACATAGTCCCTTGTGACAAGCATGTTCATTACAAAATTATGAGACCTTTTTCTCTCTAGAAGAGATTATAAAATAATTTAAAATTTGCACTGCTTTTCCTATTCTGCATTTTGATCGTCAATTTATCAGTGATAGATTATTTGGAATTTAATGTTAATATTCACTAGGGGTTCAAGTTCAATTAACATTTTTAAAGTACCTGATATGTCTGAGATTAGCAAAGAACTTTTACCCATTCTTGTTTATAGGTGCCTCTCTAGTCAGTGAACGCTAACAGGGTGCTGTTTTCTTATTCCACTTCAGCATTTTGTCAATCTCATTAGTATAGGCATAGCTTCAAACAGATATCTTACCAAATAAGTATTGATAATATGTAAGTTACTTGATATATTCATGAACATTTCTACAACTCTCCCATAGAGTTTAAAACAATTATGGAGAGCAAAATAGAGAATATTAGCCTGTCTCTCTCTCTCTCATATACACACACACTCTATATATATATATATATATGTGTTATATATATGTACACACATATTTTTTATTTTATAATTCTTGTATTACTTTCTGGACGTATTTTCTTTTAAGAAATGAAAAATTTGTTTCATAACAAAGTAGACATTAAATAAATTGCTTTGTAGGCATTTTAGTGGTTAAATCAGTTTTCACATGAGTCACCAAAAACTCATTGAATAAATGAGCAAAAATTGTGATACAAATATAAAATTGGAAGGTTACATATAAAGTAAGGAAGTTTTGTTTGTAGTGATAAACAAATCTGCCTTTTTAACAAGTTCATTTTAAATATTGAAGTATAAAACCAAAATTTCAAAAATATCCCTAAATTAAGAGATCATTTTAGACTTCATTCAGAACTTGATAATATTACTTGTATTATATGAGTAAGTGTAAAATCATTCATATTTTATATCCTTTCTGAGTTGCCATCTATAAAATACTTCTAAGATTTAAGTCTTGATCATTCATGAGCTAAAAGGATAAAATCAGAATGAGATTTTAAAACACTGTAAACTCCTTTGAATTCAAACATTTAATCCAATATTAAGAGTAATGAAGCTTCAAGTGGTAGTTGTATACACACTGATTATTGTAATTATTCAAGTTACTTTCCCTTAGGGCCACCATATTTCTAAGCCAAAAGGGCATTTTCAGCCCACTATGACAATTAGCATCTGATAAATGATGCTTCTGCCACACTTCTAATACGGTGATTGATCATTTCCAACTAATTTCTCAGAGAAATCAATGGTTCCTTTCTAGGGCATGTTCATTAACTGATTTATGTTAATATGAATGCCTTATGTTTACAATTTGCTAGGGAGCATGGTCATTCTATTTATAACTGGTTACTACCTTAGAGCTTTGTATACTGTTTCAGAGCATCAAAAATATATAAAAACCTATAAAGATCAAGTTAAACTGGGCAATTTAATAACAGCAACTAAATCTTCACATCAATGAATATTGATCCAATTCAAATACAGCTTAGTTTTGGAAGGTTTTTCCAAATGTTGGTATGTAGCTTGAAGATGTTATCATGTTTTGGTGACCCCACTCTATTCGTGTATTTATACCAACATGACACATTTTTTAAAGATAGGACCCAAAGTGTGATGCTGTAATTAAATGTTTATCCATTCCTATTCTTATTTATTCCATTATTATTCTACTCCATTCCAAGGCATTCATAAATAGTTGTTAACCACTCAACATATGCCATATATTAATATAGGTTAATATATTTCAGAATGCTTTTCAATATTCAAGGAAAAAAGAGGTGCTCTTGTTTTTACTGTGTGAATATTGGAAAAGATAACACATGCGGATAACACAACTATAAGTAACAGGAAGATAGGTGGCGTAAGGAAAATTACAGAGTGAGATATATTTAGAGAGAGGCATTATGGTAAGAGAATGCAATTAAGTAGTGAAGGACCTGAGTGAGAACATTCTTTGATAAAGGAATAATGTACGCAAAGATTCTAAGATAAGATAAAGCTTAACCTATTCCAAGAATTGAAAATGTTTCTGTATTCTGCAGTGCATGGAAAGGAGAATGACAAGAGATGAGCCTGTCCAGATAAATGGAGTATATATTTGTAAGGTAAGCAGAAAAATTACCCTTTACTTGAAGTGGAGAATGAGATCATAAATTTGACTTCATTCATTTATGTATTGATTTAAATCCTTTTTGAGCTTTCACTTTGTGCTAAGGGCTGATCTACACTTTTGGAATATATTACCAAACAAGGCAGACAAAAAAACTCTGTCTTGAAGGAGCTTACAGTTTATAGAAAAGAGGCAGAAAATTAAAAAAAAAAAATCGTTAGCAGGTAATGATGATGAAAATTTCTACAGAAAAGAAAGAACGGAGCAGTGTGAGGAGGATTTTAAGTGGAAAAGGTGAAAGAGGTGGATGGTCTGGTATTTGGGAAGGTTGCCATATTAAATAAAATACGGAGAATAAGCCTTCAAGAGATGCAAGTTGAGCAAAGAACTAAGTAAGGAAATTAGCTAAGCAGATGATGGAAGAAAGAGTTTACAGGCATAGAGAACCATCATAAACAGGACAATGTCTGGCACATTCAAAGAACAGCAAGTAGGGCAGTTTGGCTAAGGGAGTAGAAGGAGAGGGAAGAGGAAAAGGAGAGAATGTTATTCATATAAAGGCTTGAAGACCTTTAGAGAGATTCTTAGTAAAATAAGCCAACTCAGGACTCTAAGGAGATAAATAATATGATTGTGTATAAAAATTCAAAAGATGTATTTGATTTGAAGAAAAACCTGAGTATTGTCTTATACTGTAAATCACTAGCTTCATTGTTAAGGATGAATAGTAGAGGGACCAAATGAAGAAGTCAAGACCTAAGTAAGATACTACTTGAATTTCAAACAAAAGAAATGGCAAATTAAAAAATTGGAGGCCAATCTCACTCACCAATTCATAACAAAATCTAAACAAAGTATAGATCAACTGAATTGAACAGAACATTCAAAAGTTAATACATTTATCTTGGGTCTCCCTGGTGACGCAGCAGTTGAGCGCTGGGTTGCGAAGGTGCCCACAGCCTCTGCAGCACTGGTTCGATCCCCTGCTGCTCCCCGGCCACGTGGGAGGAGGGTCCCACATGGTGCGCAGACCTCTCCTGCCGCCCGCTGCTCCCCTCAGCAGTGTACTTTGGTCCTTCTGCCTGCTCTGCTCCCCGCTCTGGCTCTGGTGAATTCTCTCACCCTCCCACACTTCTGACTGTACCCAGTGCTTGTATAAATAATAAATAAATCTTTAAAAAAAAGTTAATACATTTATCTAAATTGAGAAGTTATCATTAGAAAAGCCACCATAATGAACTCTCAACATTTTATTTCATAAAATACAGGGAAAGCAATCAACTAATATTTCAGGACTTACTCTTTAATGAGTACATATTTTCCTTACCTTAATTTAAAAAATAAAATGAAAATATTTTATCACTTTATGAAATTTCAAATGCTATGTACATTTAACTATAGAAACAACAGACTTATGACCAAAAGACAGGAATACACAAAAGCAAAATTAGTGCCATGGTGACGAACATTCCTTTAATATTGTTATGCATTAGCTATTCAGTGAAAGTAAATTTGGAATATTAAAATTCTGATCTCATTTTTTTTAAGATTTATTTATACAGAACCAGGGTACAGGCCAGATGCACGAGAGGGTGAGAGGATTCACCAGACAGAGCGGGGAACAGAACAGGCAGGCAGACTGAAACAGAACAGGCAGGCAGACTGTAATACACTGCTGAGGGGAGCAGTGGGCGAAGACAGGAGAGGTCTGCTTCACCATGTGGCATTCTTGCCAGCTGGCTAGGCTCAAACACGCGCTGCAGAGGCTGCGGACAGCTTCACAGTGCGGTGCTCAACCGCCTGCGCCACTGTGGAGGCCTGATCTCATTTTTTAAAAATTGATTTTATTGACCCTCCCTTATTAAATCTTCTTCTTTGTTCCTGTTATACTTTTGTATGGTTGCTTTTCATCAATGTTAATGGATTAGGTATAGATCATATTTTTCAAACATTTATTTAAATGCTATGTCCATTAATTTTAAAAAAGAATCTAAGATGAAATTGAGATTGATGCTTCTGAACTCAGTACCCAAGCCTGGTCTGAGTCCTAGCCTGGAGTCTCGGTGCCACTTCCCAAAGTGAACACATTGCCATTTTCCTGAGAGATCCTGGTCCAGGCATTTTAGATTAAGCTAAGGGCTTCAGCTTTAGCTGGTGGGACTGAAAACTCTGAAAGGTGTGGACTGCCTTAATGTTCTCTCCATGTGCGCTGTCTTCCTGCCTGGTGAGACTGCCCAGCAGCACAACCCAGAGCAGAAATATGGGAAGGACACTGACAGTGAATGTTCCTCTACTGTATGCATTTAGTCCATGCTACACTTGCCCTGCCCCCACCATGGCAGCCATATAAGCCAACCTGCCTTGCAGGTAACCTTCCTATCTTAAAAGTCATCTTCTGATACAGTTGACTGCATTAGTATTTCCTTATTTTGGAACTAGCAGAGTTCTTTCTATTCCTCTCGGGGGCTTCTGAAAGCTGGCAAGATTACTGGAAGAGCTTTTGTTAATGCCACAGCTGTTCAGTGAGTCCTAACATCTGACCTTTCAGCAAGCTAACAGACGGGGGAAAATCTCTTTTTCCAAACTGCCACTACAATCGATGCCTTTGGACAACTGGTCCCTGCCTTCAGCCCTCCCTTCAATCTTTTTTTTTTTTTTTTTTAAGATTTATTTATTTATTTATACAAGCATTGGGTACAGTCAGAAGCACAGGAGGGTGAGAGAATTCACCAGAGCCAGAGCGGGAAACAGAACAGGCAGACCGACAAAATACACTGCTGAGGGGAGCAGTGGGGCAGCAGGAGAGGTCTGTCTCGCCATGTGGGACCCTCGCCAGTGCCCGGGTATCTAATCAGAGCTGCAGAGGCCGCGGGCAGCTTCACAGCCCAGGGCTCACCCGCTGTACCACCAGGGGAGGACCCCTCCCTTCAATCTTGATTCTCGTTGAGGTCTCTTGCTTCTGATGTTTACACATAACAAGTAAACACTATCAGACATGATTTACATAGAGAGAACCGCAGAAGGCTGTGATGGTGACGTGTGTGGCCCATATTACATTGTGTCCAGTTACCTGCCAGATGTCTTTCAGGGTATTTAAAAATACATTGCATTTGTGATCCTCCCCAGTGGTACAGGGTTAAAGTTTCATTGCTATCAAGCTATCTCCAGCCACTGTGGCAAGACTTCAATCCCCAGCCAGAGAGCTAACCCACATGGCACAGCAGACCTCTCCCCTCTTGCCCACTGCTCCCCTCAGCAGTGAATTTCAGTAGATCTGCCTGTTCTGCTCCCCACTCTGTCTGTGGTGAATCCTCTCACCCTCCCCACACCTCTGGCTTACACCCCAGTTCTTGTATGCATAAATAAATAAATCTTAAAAAAAGAGACAAGGTATTTGGAGTACCTACCACATGCCAGGCACTGTATGAGGCTTTGAGGGAAAAATAAGATACAGCTCCTGCTCTCATTTTATTTTTTTTGTGTGTGTGCTCTTAACATGATTAATATCTTCTTGCTTATATTCTTATTCATATGCGTGATCTTGTGAAGATTAAGTAAGATTACCTGTAACAAAACGAGACTAAAGTAAGATATGGATATAAAGATATGGATTTTTAAATGTGCTGTACTGAAGCTTATAACACTTTTTAAAAATCATTTTATCAGTCTGCAATGCAGCTGCAGAAATAGGGAAATAAATTTCCGAACTGACATTCTCTAAAACTAGTTGCCCGGGTAGAACTTTTCATTATGTTAGTTATCTAAAAAGACTTTCATGTGATTAACAGAAGGTTTTGCCTTTCTTCTTGCATTAAGGCTAATGTAGTCTACTAGATAGTCCGCATGGAATACAGTCAAAGAATTCAGACCACAATTAATTGATGGTCATCTAAAGAACTTATAACTTGCTAGTGAAAGATTACTCCAGATTCTACTGTGGACTAAAAAAATTTACAGGATTACACAACTTTTTGCTCTAATGCTCTAATTCTATTTCTAGAATTAAATTTCAAAATATCAAAGTTTTCCAAAAGAAACTTGTTACCAATTAACTTGGATCTGGACAAAAATAGCAAAGTTAGATTCCCCTAATACAAAGGCATAAATCGATCTTACTTTGGTGATTGGCAGTCATTTTGCCAGTTGAGAAAAACCTGGGTAAATTCACAAAATTAGCTTCCTACACACACCAAATAAATATTTTAAACATTCCTAATAGGGCAGCCACCAAGGGAAAAACAAGGAAATTGAACTAAAATCTGGATTTTCTAATTCAGAAATTTTTGTTTATCATCAAATGCTAATATTCAAAGACATTTGTATTTACTACAATTTTTTTTTTTTTTCCTTATTCTTAAGTCCGTACTTTAAAGTTTGGTCTTTCAAAGAGTAGAAATTTGCAGAAATGAGCAACAAACTTTCTAAATAACACAATTTGAATATATGTTGAGACTGGCTAGTTAAAACTCTAGGTTAACAAGGCCAAATGCAGGGTTTAAATTCCAAATAGGCCAGTAAGTTTTGGTTTCTTGGCTACTTGGAGGGGGACCCACAAAAGTTAACTATACCGACAGAAAGTGTCTTGTTTATAACTTTACAGCTGCTTTTGAAAAACTGATCACTCAGTGTTCTTAGACATGGGCATTCTAAAAACCAACTTTTAATTCCATAGTTTTAAGTAGGATAATTTCAGTGTTACCTCCTCTGTCCAGAAAGTTCATGATGCTAGAAGCCAGTGACTATATTTATAATTGTATAATAAACCCCTCAATATTAATACCTAAAATAGGGCCTCCCTGGTGGCATAGGGGTTAAGTCTCAGCGCTATCAAGCTATCATAACCAGCCACTGCAGCATAGACCTCCCCTGGCTCGCCAGCTGCACCCCTCAACCGTGTATTTCAGTAAGGCTGCCTGTTCTGCTCCCCACTGTCTCTGGTGAATCCTCACACACCCCCACCCACTTCTGGCCTACACCCAAGTTCTTGTATGAATAACTAAATCTTAAAAAAATAAAACCCTAAAATTATTGTACTTGGACACACAGAAGCAGAGATTTGGTGAGAAAACTGGAATTTTAATTTTATAAATCATATATTCAAGTTATCAGAACATTGTCCATAGAAAATGGGAGCTGAGATCTAAAATGTTTGTCTTTGGCTGTTTGTCTTTGGCTAAACGCAATTTTATGCACCACTCCCCAGAGCTAACAACAGGTCTGTCCAGATGCTAACACCAGGAACTTCAAAATCTCCATCCTGTGCCTTGCAGGACTCCAGGGCCTTCACAGCTTGATCTCTCAGAGGTGGAGGGGCCTGACAGAGGCTTTGAAACCTTCCAAACAACTCCTCCCAGGAGACATCTTGGGACTCTACTCCAACCCAAATGCCTTTCTGAAGGTCGTATTGCAGGAGTCGACCCCAGTCTGTTAGGAGGGCTAGATAGGCCCGGGAGAAGTCTGGGTGGCAGCCGGCCACTGAAGTTAAGAGCCCGACTGGGAGGTTGCGGCAAACGGTCGTCACGATATCAGACTTCCCCAGAAGCCAATGGACCAACTCTTGAGCCCCCTCTCCAGAGATTTTGGGGTCGCCCAGTTCCAATTCCTCTTCTTGGGGCCGGGGAGATGGCGGCAGCAACAGAGCGGCCGCTATAACTTTCAGAAAGCTGTCCCGCGGCAAGCGCTCCCACAGGCTGCTGAGAAACCTGCTGGGGCCCTGCGCGTCCGCCGCCCGCACCTCCCGCAGACGCTCCAGCAGCAGCTCCGCCTGGGTCCTCGTCAGGGAGTCCTGAAGGGCCGGGCTCTCCCCACACCCGCTGCGGCGCAGCAAGCACACGGCGGCCCGGCGGCGGACGAGGCGGGCCAGGCTGTCCTGGAGCGTCTCCTCGTCACTGCCCCGGTCGCCAGGCCCGGGGAAGAGCTGCCGCAGCAGGCAGTGATAGGCGGCATCCCCGAGGGCCGGGTTCTCCAGCAGGCGCAGAGACAACAGGAGGTCGCAGCGTCCCAAGGCCTGGAAGTTCGTCAGCCCCGGAACCAGAGCCGGGTCGAAGCTGCCCTCCCGCTTCCACTGGCTTCGCAGCCGCCGCTCCAGCACGGGGCGGATGCGGACTTGGTGGCCAAAGCGTCCGTGGACGTGGCGCAGATAGCGAGCCCACTGAAAAGCCCTGCGCACGGTCGGCGCGTCCCAGGAGCTGACGTGAGTAGTGCGGGCCACGGCCAGCACCTGCGAGAAATGCTCCAGCTGCTGCAGGAGCGTCTCCATGGGGGCGCGCGAGGCTTTACTTCCGCGTTCGCCTGGAGGTGGCGGCTCCCTGCGTGCCATTGGTACGTCCGCCAAACGATACGCCTCTCGACAATGCTATTGGGCAAAGTTCCTGTCAATCTGGCAGCAACTTCAATCCGGGCACCCTGATTCTGGGAAATTTAAACGGGGTAAGCGCGGACGCTTTTACTTTCGTCTTTGTTGGGGGGGGGGGCGGGGGGCGATTAATGTAGGGCAACCTAACGCCCATTCCTGGAGCCACGCGTTAGATGCTATTAGTCACAAACTCTTCTGCTTCCATTCGTTTGGGAAATAATCCCTACTAGAAATTTCTTTCTTTCTTTTTTTTTTTTTTTTTGAGAAAATCTGTGTAGCGTTTCATAAGTGGGTAACGCCAGAGAGGGCGGTTCACATATAACCTTGTAAGATGCGCTGTTACCTATTAAGTGATATTTTTACTTTAATTCAGTTTAGCAAAAATATACTTACTTCCAATTAACACCAATCACTATAGTAAATTCTGGGCCTTCATGTTCTTTCATTATTAAAATTGAAGTCCAGCTTAACAGAAACAAACAAAAACTGCAAGATTGTTACTCCATTAAAAATTTTAAAGGAAATTAAAATTTTACTTCAAATGACATTTCTTATTTTCATAACTTCCACCGCAAAATATCCTCGTTGATTCTTATTTTACACAACTAATTGAGAAATGTCAGTAAGAACATAGTACAAAAATAAATGACTGAAAATTGTGGAGAGAGGGAAGAGGAAAAACGACCCAATTCTAGAGCATCATCTGACTTATTCTTTTATGCAATCAGCATTTATTTGCCAGCTTCTAGTAGTTTCTGTTGGGTGCAGTGAGATTGTACCTACATACCATATTACTTGCTGTTCAGTAGTAAGCCTATCAATGAAAGCATTTCCTAAAGATAGAAAATTTTCAGAAGTGGCCAGGGGAGGGCCTCCTCGGTGGCTCAGCAGTTGAGCGCACAGCAGTGTATTTCCTCAGTCTGCCTGTTCTGCTCCCTGCTCTGGCTCTGGTGAATTCTCTCACCCTCTGCACTTCTGACTGTACCCAGTGCTTGTATAAATAAATAAATCGTTCTTTAAAAAAAAAAAAAGTGGCCAGGAGAATGAAATCTGGTCAGTTAGGCCTAAATAATTTGGAGAATACTTTTCTTAATCTTCAGAGTTGGTAGAGCATATATGTAGACCAATATGAAGAGATAGTCATAATAGAATGTGGAGTATGTAAGGACTGATTATCAGGCATGTTCTAGAGATTGTGTCTTCCTCTTGACAAGTGTTACTTTTTTAATTTTTTAATTTTAATTTTTTTTTAATTTTTTATTTTATTTGTTTATTTATTTATTTATTTATTTATTTATTTATTTTGTGGGACCCTCACCTGTGGCCCGGGAACGAACCTGTACTGCAGAGGCTGCGGGCAACCTCACAGCCCAGAGCTCAACTGCTGCACCACCAGGGGAGGCCCGACAAGTTATGTTTTTATATGAAACTGCTGGTTATCCTTTTCCCAGAGCTAAGATCATCTAAATAAAATAGATGGATTAAGACAGTCCACAGTCTAGCTCTTTTTAGGGTTATAACCCTAGATAGTCCTATTTTTTCCCCCCTGTATAATTTATTTTCTGTGCTTTCAGCTAAATGCACCTAACTAATACAAGCCCTTTAGAAAACTGTGTGGTACATCTAAACACTCAATAAGCTTTGGCTTTTTGCTATTGCTTATTATGTAAATATACATCTTCCCATGTCTTTACCAAATTCCACTCCTCCCAAATAGAAAAGGCAGCCACAAATGCTGTTATGAGGAGTGGTGGAAAACATTTTATTGAAGAAAGATGCAGCTTGTTATAATATTTATTTTTTCTAATGCTTTCTTGCTCAATGTACTGTTCAGGCTAGAAAAATCAAATTGATTCTATTTTATAGGGTAGGTCTGAATATTTGATTATATTAAGACATACAATAAGCTGCATTATAGGACACTACAAAACTGACAGATCAATGAAAAACGTTGTTCAGATGCCCTTTATTCTATTTTGAACAATATTTTATTCACACATTAGCACACTAATTTCAGCCTTCTGCTTGCTGAAATAGTATGTTTCTATACAAACAAGTAGACCTGGACTCCATATCTTTAGGCAGGCCAGACAAAGAGTTTTATACTCATCCTGAATCTGCTTCATGGAAGGAGGTGCTTTGACCTTCTTATAGTCATTCTGTGGGCAAATATTATAGGCAGTGATGACATCTTAACAGCTGCTCCTGTTACCGTTTTCAAGGCAGGTATAAAGGCTGGTCACTCCAAATTCTTCAGCAGCAACAGTAAGTGATAAGCTGGCATAACTTTTGAAGAGTGATTTCTCACAGAAACTTTGTAATATTGCCTCTTTTTTTGCAATGTTGCAAACTGAGAGGGGAATATAAAATTTACTTTAATAAAATCAAGATTTCATTTGTTTCCCTTACAAAAGGGGGAACTCATCAAATGAATGATAATAAATGAAGTACTTTAGAGGAACCATGTATAGGGGAACCTGAAAATTAGGTTTCCAGGAACAAATGGCCTCATCTTGCCATTTAATACTATCACTACTCTCTCACCAGACTCTGGAACCCCACACCAAATCTCAAAAATATTAAATTTTTATACCAGACAGGAAGAGACACAGTGTTTATTTTTCCTACCCTGAGACTTGTTTTCAGAAGACTACCTGACTATGACTAAGCCAATGTTTCTTGGGATCCTAAGGGTCCCAGTCATTGTACAGCAGAAACAATTACAATTGTATTCTTGATAGATTGATCTCTTTTGACCTTAAGGCACTCAAATGAGGTGCAGGAAGCAGGGGTCATTATAGGCATGGGCAATGATCTAGTAATCCACCCTTTCTTCCTGCCTGCACTTGCTTTCCCAGCTGGACATCTGTTTAGTGTAGAATGAGTACACATTGCAATCCATCATAGACAAGGGTCCCAGAAGTTAGTGGAAGAATTCCATATACTCCAGGAAAACTGGGCACAGTTCCAGTGAATTTAGAGGAATATTGTGAAGGAAAATGTAGAGAATGGGACTTTCTTGGGCACAGATCAGATGAGGGCTTCAAAGCTTTCCCCACACATTTGAAACTCTTATACTGCCATAAATTAGATATATAATTTTAAAACTGTGTCAATATGCAGATTACATGCTTTCTTTTGTGTATATGTGTGTATTTGCCTACAAGTATTTGGTTTGAATTTACTAAGAAGGTGCTTGCATTAAGTCATTTTTGTAAGATTTTTAATTTATTTTATTTATTTTGCATGGAAGAACTGGGGTATAGGCCAGAGTTGTTGGGGTGAGAGGATTCATCAGAAATGGAGTGGGGAGCAAGAACAGGCAGATCTACTGAAATACACTGCTAAGGGGTGCGAGTAGCAGGTGAAACAGGAGAGAGGTCTGCTGCGCCATGTGGGTTAGTTCCCTGGTCTGGGATGGAACTCTGAGATTTAACCCCTAGGCTGCTAGGGAGGCCCTGAATTAAGTCATTTTTGTAGTGAATGTTAATTTTAGTGACTTAAAAGGTAACAGCACAAAGACTGTTTTAACAATGCATGCATTTTATGAAAATTGGAGCTTTAGGAAATCTTTTAGGACTCTTATTAATGTTTCTTTGGAGGCATAATTTATTTGCAGCAGTGTTTTAATATTTAATACCATGTTACCTTTAAGAGGAAAGAGAAGAGCTTTTCCGTAAACATAATCTTATTTCTTGTAAATTTTAAATGACTATAATATGGTTTTGCCTGTTTCATCAACAACACTTCTAGTTGATGATTCTCAAGAAGGTGAGAGAACTTTGTTGAAATCTTGATCAGGGATTTCCTGACCAATTCAAACATAAAAATTAATATAAAAAATATAAGGAGATAAGCTTAACACTTCTATTTTAAAGATTTCAGTTTTAAATGTTGGGAAGTTTCATATAAATTTAATGTATAATGTCAGTTCTATTCATACGAAGAAATTGCAAAAACTGTCCCGTTCCCCGCTCTGTCTCTGGTGAATCCTCTCACCCCCGCCCCACACTTGTGGCCTGTACCCCAGCTCTTGAATGCATAAATAAATAAATCTTAAAATTTTTTTCACCAGATCTTTTATATATGCCTTCCCATTCCTCTTAGGTTGACTGCTGTGTGCCATAGTATTAAAAAGGTTGGAAAGCAGTGTCTGACAGCATTCTAACCCAGCTAGCTAAGGACACAAGAAAACGCACTGTGGTTCAAGCTAGACAATCTTCAGTTTCTATAAATAAGGTGGAAAGAATATTAGTTGTCTCATTCTTTGTTTGTCCTTCTCATTCATCACATCACTTTTCTCCCTTCTTTCCCATGCTTTGTACAGAGAACTGGCCTGATCCTCATTGTGTATGTCAGCCTCCTTCCTTTGTACTCTGACTTGCAGCTGAACTTGCCAATAGGAGGCATTAGCAAGATGGAGGCATGTTATTCCTTTGCTCTCTGCTGAGGTCTCAGAATTCTGCTTCCCCCCATTCAAACATTCTCGAGCTCTCCCTGAACTTTTGCCAGGAACTGTTACTCCTTACCACGTAGGATTCAGCTGCTGTTGCTCCTCCCTGGATGTCCTGACATGCCTCGATTCCCTTAATCCTGTCAACATTTTCTTTGTAAATATTCCTCTATTAAATTATTTTCAAAATCCCTGCTGACATCCCCCATTTCATGCCAAAACTTTGGCTTGTATTTTCAGCCATTCTTGTAATTAACCTAAGACTGTGAGTCAATGCTATCAATCAGTGTGTGTTTAGGGAATGATGAGTCATTGGTGTAGTGAGACCCAAATACCTGTCATTGCCATATACTGCTGCCCATCTATGACAAAGTCATTGCTGTTAGATGAAACATGAAAAATATATGCCAGCACAAGGTAGTTTCATAAATATAATTAAGGGGGAAAAGCATTTCTTTATATAGTAATTGTGGTTATTAAAATAATGGTACTTTCCTTTT